ATTTTTATATCAAAGAAAAAGAAAGTAACTCAAAATATTTATTATTAAGAGAAGGAGGGGGATCTTTGCAGAAATGTGCACATTTTGAAACCCATCTTTGAAATGGAAAATACAGAAAGCAGTTTAAAAGATACTTATTTTGTTAGATTAAACAAAAAACTATTATTAAGTAAGTGTAGTTATACTTTAGTAAAATGTACAAGCATTCTTGTCCATGTCTCAAATTAAAAAAAAAAATTAAAAATTTTAAACAAAACTAAGGTGATCATTATTTATCCCAGAAACAGAGTGATCGTGAATTATCCCGGGTCACCCTATGTCTAATTTTGATTTATCATAATGTTGATTTCTTTGTTAGGAATTTCTTATATGCATTTTGTATTGAAAAATGCATAGTTCAATTAAGACTTCATCCCATTTTAAAAGGAATATAGTGTTTTGAATTAAATATGAAATATATTTAAAAAGAAACAAAAAACAGGGGAGATTTCCATACCATGATCTGTGGCAGAGTAATCGCCAAGTCTTGGAAACTTCCGGGTAGTGGCCTGCGAGAAACTAAGAAAAACATCTCGGAAAGGGACCAACTCGAAAGGTATAACTTGTAGCCTCTACATGCAAACATCTGCATGTTTATTTCAAAAAAATTTGCAAGTTTAAAATCTATTCCGCACCTTGACAATTGTAGTTGGCGCTGCAGATCACGCTACGGAAATATCCCTAAAAACATTTTGTGGTGCTTTTGATTACTTTTTAAAACTTTTATTGAAGTGTAATCTCATTAATTTTGAGTCAAATAGATTTTCTCTTTTTTTAAAAAAAAGAAAAAAATTCTTTTATTTTTCGGAATTTACACTGTTATTGGTACGTTCTGCAAGAACTAAGGAACTGGTTACTAGAAAACTGATATATCTTAAACTGGTAAGTTCCAAGGAGTAGTCAGGGAATTTGAGTCAATGAGAAGGAAGAGGCGTTGACGTCATGATCAGAGAAAAACTGGCCCTCTATGCCAGAAACGTTATCTTCCTTCCACGGCAAGCAAACAAAACTCGTCGCCAACTTGCCATAGTTATGTTAATCCCCCCAATTTTTTAAAAATTTTTAATTTTTTTCTTATTGGTATCTGTGTCTACTGAAATTGCCAAATGCCAAATGAATCTGCTTGATTGTTGTATTTGAAAGAAAGTTTAAAATGATATTAAGTGACTTGCTATGAAGTTTTGTCTTTCGAATTTACTGTGATATTTTTTCAGTTTCTCAAAAACTTTGTGATTATTTTCGATACGGAAATCTTTCACATATATAAGTTGTTCGAGAGACTCAGTAATTGTGTTAATGATTATTACTGCAATATGATTTTAACGGGAGTACAAATTAGTTTGGTCTGTTTTCAAAAGATGACTCTGGCTGTTATGAATGTTTCATAGTAACAGCTGGTTTTGGCGGTTTCAGATAGGTTAGACATCTGTCAATAATATTCAGTTTATATCGCTTTGAGCTTCATACAAAAACCCTGTTTTTTACTTTGTTGAATGTGTCAAATTTTGTGGTAACTAAGCAGCATTTGCGGGAGGTTTTATGTTTCTGCTTTAATTGGAAGAAAAGTGCAGCTGAAGCACATCGAATGCTTGTAGAACTTTATGGTGACAATGCTCCAACGGATAAATCATGTAGGGAATGGTTTTGACGTTTCAAGAATGGTGATTTCAGCGTTGAAGACAAACCTAACTCTGGACAGCCAAAAAAATTTGAAGACAAAGAATTAAAGGCATTACTCGAAGAAGATCAGAGTAGAATCAGGGGTCTGTCCAGACATTTTGTAAAAGGTCCGTTTTTCGTGAAATTGTGAAATAATTACTCACATTCTTTCAACCAGGGTCCGCTTTTATGAATTTGTACAAATAGGGTCCGTTATTGCAAAAAAAAACTTTTTCAAGGAGTTTTTAAATTGTAAAGACATACAAGATTATGCTCAACACTGTAAAATTATAATTAAAAAAATTAAATTTTAAAAAATAAACAACAATTGCTGCTTCTAAATTAGAGATGCAACATACAAATATTTGGTATTTAGCCTATACTGCTGAACGCAGAATATTAATTTCGGACGAATAATGGAAGAATCGTCTGCCGAAGACAAAACTTAATTCGTTTACATCCATCTTTCTTGTTTTCTGCCCTGGAAAGGGTTTATTCGATTAACAAAATAATAATGAAGATAAACAAATTTGTGAAGGGTCCGATTAAAAGAAAAATCATTTTGTGAAGGGTCCGTTTTTAAGTTAAAATATTTTGTGAAGGGTCCGTTTTTATGAAAAGATATTTTGTGAAGGGTCCGTTAACGGACCCAAATTTCTTCTAAACAGACCCTTGAGAACACAAGAAGAGCTTGCAGAATCATTGGGAGTTATGCAACAAGCCGTTTTCGTATGATGTCACAACCATGGGTTTGATTCACAAGCAAGGCAATTGGGTGCCTTATGAACTGAAACTGAGAGATGTTGAAAGGCAATTTGTCGCTTGCGAGCAGCTGATTCAAAGGCAACAAAGAAAGTGATTTTTTACATCAGATTGTGACTGGGGATGAAAAATGGATATTCTATGACAACTCCAAGAAGAAAAAATACTAAGCTATGCCGATCAACCGTTGCCATTGACCTCAACATCAACACCAAAGCCGAATATTCATGGTTCGAAGATCATGCTGTATATCTGGTGGGACCAAAAGGGTGTTGTATACTATGAGCTGCTACAACCAGTACCGTCTTTACGCATGGGCACACCCGGGCAGTGTCCGAGGGCCCTTAAGCACTAAGGGCCCTTGAGAATCTTGCTTTTTATAAATTGTATTTAAAAAAAGCCAAGAATAAACAAAATTGTCGGATATATTTTTAAAAATAAATATATTCTACGGTTGGTTGGTTGTTGTTAATTTACGTCGCACTAGAGCTGCACAATGGGCTATTGGCGACGGTCTGGGAAACATCCCGGAGGATGATCCGAAGACATGCCAACACAATTTTGATCCTCTACAGAAGGGATTTATTCTATGGTATAAAGTGTGCATTTTGTTTTTCTTTCTGCAAACAGTGATTGATTATCATGCAAAAAACAATAATTTTAATAGTTTATCACCAGGGAAACTAAAAAAGTCTACCGAAATCTATTTTTCTACGTTCCAATGAAGTTTTTATGTGGATTCAGTTTTTTGAGGAATCAAAATGTATTTAAATTTGTTCAAATTATTGCATATGTTAAAAATGCTTTATTTTGTGTATGTGAAGTTTTTGTTAGTTCGATTTTAAGCAGTATGACCTGTTATAAGGGCCCGAAACATTTTTGTGCCCGAGGGCCCTGCATGCTATTAAGACGGCCCTGGCTACAACCTGGCGATTCCAAAACGGGCAATTGGTATAGGCTACAATTATTTGTTTGAGCCGTGCATTACGAGAAAAAGGGCCGGAATACGCATGACAAAGTTATTTTTCTGCATGATAACGCTCGGCCTCATGTCGCAAAACTCGTGAAAAATTATTTGGAAACTCTCCAGTGGGATATTTTACCGTACCCGCCGGACATGGCTTCTTCTGATTACTGGTTGTTCCAATGGATGCAGCACGATTTGACAGGTCACTGGTTCACTTCTTTTGCTGAAATCGAAAATTGACTCCTAACTTGGATCGCCTCAAAAGACAAATTTTTTAAAAATGGAATTCGAAAATTGCCTGAAAGGTGGGAAAAAGTTGGAGCCAGCGATGGACAATACTTTGATTAATCTGTTCATTAATTTTGTTCTGAAATAAATGCATTTTTGACTACAAGAAAAATGGACCGAACTAATTTATACTCGCAATACAATAAAGGAATTTTTTATAGGGAAAAATTTGGTTTTACCTAATATTTTTCGTATTTTCTCATGCAAGTCTCAAAGATTTATAAATAAGAACATAAAAATATGAACAAAAGGGAAAATTTCTACTTTGAATCTTTTACCAAAATGGATGCTAAATTTTGAAGCAAACTGGTTAATGTCACACAAACTAAATACTAAAAACAGCAGACCTTGGCCCTTCATGGGCTGTTGCTCCACTGAGTTTTATTGTTTAGGTAAATTTCTCGATAACTTATGATTCACAAGAGTGTCGGGGGCAGATTTCCGTATTGTAATCTGTGGCAGGATAATCGTCAAGTCTTGGCTGCTGCAAAGCCACTCTTGGGCAAACCTCTACATGTTTTCTTTTAAAGAAATTATCCCCTTTCAAATTCAGTTTGGCGCCTTAGTGATTGTAGTTGGCATGTCAGATCATGATATTGAAATATCCCCGGCGCCTGGATGGAAGGTCTTTGAAGGTTGTGACCTTATTCGAATAAATCTGGCTGGCCATTCGGCAAATTTATGCAATCTCATTTTTTCTTAATCTTTTTTTTTATAAAACTCAAATAAAATTAGTAAATATTACACATTTAATTGCATTTTTTAAAAAAAAAATTGCGATGGAAAAAAAGTATGCTTAGTTATCTATAGTTTCAAGTATCAATTTAACAATTATCTCATTTTTATTTCTTTTCCTTGCTCTTTAAAGTATCATTTGCAAAAGAATAAATGAAGAAGTATGACAGTTATTTTGTAAATGCAGTTCAGTAATGATTAAGTTGAGAGTTATATGAAGCTGAAAAATAGTTATCAATTGCTAACGTTTAATTTTAAAATACAAATAAATTTCTACAATGAAAAGACTGTCAAAGCAATACATATTGAATGTTTAGTCGTGAAAGTATTTTTGATTGTGATTATCAAAGAAAGCATACCACTATGACATTTGCATGCTTATTGAAATGGAGGAATCTTCAATTTCTTTATCTGCTGTGAGAAAAAATTGAAGGAGCAAACTATTTTAAAGATAAACATTTTTATTTTGTTCTCCTATTTAATATTTAATCTCCTATTTAATTTATTGACTGGAAAAATTAGCAATAAAGCCAAGTTTAATTTCTCTATGTCTGCATTAATGTTGTTCATTTTTTTAATTAAACAAATAAATGTATTTTAAATAAGTTTTAATTAATTTACAATTAGTTATTTATTAATTTCTTTAACTTTTTTGACAACTGAAATTTATGTTTTAGTTTAAATTAACGGTTCCCAAAGTATCCTTTTTTTATTCTTTATATAACAGCATTAGCCAGTTATGCAATTATTCACTATTTCATGCGGTTTAGTACTGTTTCAAGCATAGTCATTTTAAAATTGTCATATTTCAGATCAGGGTAAAAAGGGTTGTTGGTTTGTCCTGTTTTAGGTAGCGTGTCTTCAGATTATCATGAATGTTTTTTATGGTATTACTGGGCAATACCACTTAATCTTAAAAAGCATCTATGTAAGGAATGCTGGGATATGTATACTATGCACATATAATACCAGATATTTCGTTTTGAATCCTGATTGAACCTAAGTACACTGCTTAGTTTCATATATATATATATATATATGCGGTAGCGCTTCGCGATGTCGTGTCACAGGTCACTGGTTTGATCCTCGGGCCGGGCAAGGTCGACTCAGCCTTTCATTCCTTCAATAGGTCGATAAATGAGTACCAAGCATGCTTGGGAACTAAACACTGGGGGCTCCGCGTTCGGCTGACCACCTGACCGGAACATCTGCTCCTGCACCCCAGAGCCCAAGGTCAAGAAAACTGAGATGGGCACATTAGGCCTTGGCCCTCTATGGGCTGTCACGCCACTGAGTTTATTTTTTTTTATATATATATAGTGGCTTATGCATAGGTGGCTATGAATTGTTCCCTTTCCTCTTTATATGACGTTTCTTTCATGTTACCAAAATCTTGTGACCAATTTTTAGCTGGAACTTATACAGAAATTTTTCCCTAATATTTTTATCTAGATTATTTTTTTTAAAACTCTTTACATGTTTAGCTAGTCGGAAATTTTTTTTGGCAATAAAGTACTTTTGACTATGGATGAAATGCATGTGTCAATATATATGTCCTTAAATTCTAAACACATTGATTTCTCTTTATTATAGTTATCTTTGCTGTACTCATTTCTAGTTGTATTGTTACATCTAGTTTTGTACTGAGAAGGATAATGTGCAGCATTCTATTATGGAGGAAAAAACAAGCATCAGTGTCAAAGATTTTTGATAGATTCTTCATTCTAACGATTATTCTGTCCATTGCGTTCTATTCCCTTCTGTTTCTTTTCAATCAAGAGGTATTAAATTTTCTAATTTATTTTTAATTTGTAAAATTGAAATGTACCTAATAATTTTATCACTCATTGTATGTTGAGTTTTAGGTTATTTGAATATATTTTGAATATATATCTATTTAAGCTTAGCCTATTGGTTGTGAAATGAATTTGGAACATGGCCGTTCTATGTGAGATATTATAAAAGTTTCTTAAAAAGCAAAAATTAAACTTAAAAAATTGATTTTTTTTCTTTTTATTTCTGTTTAACGTATAGCTAAATATGTGAACTAAATATTGTAAACTGTGAAAAGGAAACTTATTAAGCCATAACATTTTAAAATTTATTGCATGCAGTGTTTAACACATAACCAAATATGTTTAACTCATAACCAACTAAAACTTACATAAATAGGATGCAAGTAGCAAATTTCTTTGAAACTATTCTGGAAAATTATCTTTAGGAAAATAGGTTTCTTGACCTGGAAGTAATAATTTTTAAAAAAAGCAGTTAAGTTACAGTTTTAAACTTCCAATAGGAATTTTAAATTTAGATGAAATAATTAAAATGGTTTAAATTAAAATTGAATTTTTCTAATTAAAAAAAAAATCAAAAAATTATTCTAATTAAATGAAAAATTCAGTTTAAAATGAAAGCAATAATGTTTGATGATTAATTTTTTGTTCTTTTTTTTGTTTTGTTCTGTAGTCAAATATGGTAGATGAAAATTTCTTTGATGAGATCCAAGAAAATGGTTGGGTGGAAATATTAGTCAACAATCCTGTTTCAGCATGTTTTTTCCTTGGATGTGTGATAGCTATTATTTATTGTGTATGTTGAATTTCATTTTGCATTAACTTTATTACATATCTTAAAAAATCTTTGGAGTGATTATCCTCTTCTATCAAATATGATTGTCACTAACCTATGCCTATTCTTTATTTAGTTTGAATGGTATTATAAAATCTGAAATGATTGGTTTTCATTGCTGACTTATTTTTAATAATTTTATTTTCTTTCATTCTATTATGTTATGATGGTAGTTTTTTTTTTTTTTTAATGAAGAAAACTCACCTACAAGTTTTACTGAGGCACTAGTCAGTAATCCTGCTGCTCCAGTAGTTTTGGAGTGGTTCCAACATTAGAGCACATTACTTTCTCCATATTGTTATTCATTTGCCTGTTTTTCAACTTGCACAAATAAATATCATTAATATCATTTATATCAGTTGAAATCAAAGTTATGAGGCTTAAATGTCATACAATTAATTTTCATTATTACTTACATGACAATAACTGTTCCCTAACCATACTTATAACAACTGTCCAGGAGTATAACAAATATAACTGTTTATAATCAGCTTGTCTACATTTTCTATCAGACACAATTATGAAATTATAATTCAATAGGAATTCAACTTAGTGATTTCAGTAATCAAATCTAAAATGACATATAATTTTACGAAAACGATTTCACAAAACCAAGAAATTTTTTCAACACGGTAGACCCTAATTTATTTTCATCTTCATAATGTTTACAATTTTGCAAAATCAGAAACAGACATAAATTTGAAGCCAACTAAAAAATGAACGTTTTTCTTATGAGAGTCAAGATGATGACCTCTTTTGGCCGTGTTAGGTATTTTTATAAATTATTTGTTTTAATAACCAACAGAAAGGCATAAAATTATGATGTAGTGAAAATTTGGAAAAGTAAAGAAATATGAGCCTAAAAGATGACGTGTATCTTCAAAAACATAAGAAATGGCCAAAAATGATCAAAATTACTCCAGAGGTGCTTCTAGTGTTAAATAATTGTGTCCAAAATAATTTTTAAAAGTTGGTGGTTAATACTGTATTATCACAAATTTGCTAAAGGAACTTTTATTTATTTTTATGGAAACAAAAAAATTTTCTTTGTTCAGTGTTCTGATATAGTTGCGTGAATAAGTTGTGAATAGTTGTTATAGCAGTTGTTATATAGAAGTTATGTGAAGCAGTTGTGATAAAGTTGTATGATAAGTGTAAATTTCTTATCAATATTCATACTCTTTAAATAAACAGATGAGTAAAACTAACGATATACACTTTCCCAACAACTTCTCAACTAATAATTCCTTTTGTATGGAATCAAAATTATTCTCTTTGTTCAGTATTCTGTTACAGTTCAAGTGTAAAGTTTTTTTATTATTGTTTATGTACTTGAAATGAAAGATGACTGAAGCTAAAAATTACCAATTTTAATTAAAAAGGAAATGTGTTTTGTTTGTTTCAGATTGATAGCTGTGATACTTACTTAGTTCATTCTCAGTCAGAAAATATAAATATTGGAGTAATGTGGGCTTACTCAGCTTTCAATGCATATTTTCAAGTGCTGTTTAGAGGTATGAAATAACTTGCCTTCTAATGTTTATTGGGTTCACAAAGTTACCTCTAAATTAAAAAAAAAAGAAAAGAAATATAAGTAAGCAAGACTCCCTAATTAAGATATGCAAACGGTCATGATTCGACCTTTGGAACCAGCCTTTTATACATTTAATATTATTATACGTTTTTTTGTTAATATTTTATGCAATTTTTTTTTAATATAAAGTTTTTAATTTGACATCATAGTTATGTTTTACACATTACTTTCTCACTTAAAGCTGTTTATAAATTTAGTTATAATCAGTATAAATTGTGTTTATCAATGAAAATTGTGTGTGTTAAGATCATTGAAAGTTTTAGCTATTCATGACTGATTAAAAGTCAATTTTGAAAAAATGATTTTTGTCATATTAATGTACAAAATTATACAAAAACGTTTTATCCATATTGTACTTTGATATTTTAGAAGATCGCTTCATGAATTTCAACCTCATAAAGATGGCATATTTTGAATTTCATGTAATAAATCTAGGTTGTTTTCTAAAAACTATATATCTGAAATGCCCACTCATTCTTCCTAAATTTAGATTTTACTGTTTTGCATGCTTAATTTGAGTCAATTTCATTGTAAATTCACATGGCTTTGTCGATTGCCTCTCTGTCAGTGCTGCTATGGATTTCAACATGATTTTTAAAATCCTAATTTTTTAAATATAATATGAATGATGACAACTTTGTTGTTTATGCATATGATTTTAAAAACTTTTGATAACCATCTGCTATGTCCACATGCTAGCGGGAACCTTACTAATTCTTATCAGAAAAAGTAATCAAAGTATGTTTGCCTCAAATATAGTATTGAAAGTGATTTAGAGCTCATTTCACTTTCAAAATTTGATTTGCCTGTTCTGAAAGGTTTTATTTTACTATACAAAACTATATAACTTATTTTACTATACCTTGTTGTATTTTAGGACTAATAAAAAGATGTTTTTATTTTTTTAATAAATAAAATATTTTTTCCTGATTATGCTTTTTAATATTCTTTTTTTTTTGTCATTTCTCAAAGCTCATAAAAATTTATGGAGATAACTTTTTGTTCTTATAACTGCCATCAATAATTTTATTTTTTATTTTCTAAGATGTTGCTTACAGCACCATTTTGCATTATTTGATACTATTTCATGGTTGCCAACTCTTCCAATTTATTAGGGAGGCTCTCTAATTTTTGTTGTTGAGGCTCTCTAATTGAGGCTCTGAAAATTTACTTTTTTCCTATTTTTTTTTACCAAAACGTTATTCTAAAATTTTTTACAGTTTCTTTTAATTACAAAGTGTTTTTATTTATTCTGTTTTGTTATGACAGTTAAGAATATTATTTTGGTCTATTTCTACATTAAAAAAAAAAATATAATTTATATAAAAAAAAAATTAAACTCTTAACTTCTTAGGTTTTCTTTCAACCTTACAACGTCTGAGAAAATACGTCAGAGTTGATAAAAAATTATATTTTGTCATAAATATTTTATGTATAATTTTTATTTTTCAATATCGAAAATGTAATAATTTTTCGAAACTGAACATCTTTAATTAAAATGTATTGATTGTTTTAATAGTGAACTTTTTAATTTTTTTCTTTACGTTCTAGAATGGTCTGAGTACACTAGGAAATATTTGCAATCTGGCAATCAATTGGATTGCATGAAATTGATTCTAATTTGCCCTCTTTCATGCAATATTGATAGTGCATTACATGAAAGATATGACAGAATATTTGAACAAGGTTATCTTACTGATGACATTGAGAATGATCAAGGGGCAAATATTAACAGGTTGTACAAAATACCTGTTTACAGAGTTGGAAATGAAAAAAATGTAATTATTTTTTTGGAATATTATATTTCAATTATTGTATTGTCACAATATATTTTTTAAAATATTATTTACAACTAAGCATGAAATTAAATACAAAATAAAAATAGAGAATTTAAATATTTTATTTTAAAGTTTTGTATTCATTTTTATTTTATTGACGTGTTGTGTGCTATTGATGTGATGTATGCTAAAAAGCAAGACACATTGGACAAACACTAGAGGATATCAGCATGAACATTAAAAATAGAACTTTTTCACTAGTTTTTGATTAGTAGGGAAAGCAATATGGTACATCATTCTGACAAAAAAAAAAAAGGAATATTTGCCTTTTATTACTATTCTTCATTGTATTTTCCATTTTCATTATTGTGGAATTTCACCATTTTCACCATTGTGTGTTTAATTGTGGAATCGACTCGGTAACTACGGAACTTTGATAATTCTATTAATTTAAGTAAGAAGGTATCTAAAATCCAGAAATTTTGGAAATCTGAACCTTACAACCCCCCGAGCATTTCAGATTTTCGAAGTCGTACTATATATGCTATGAATAGGATGATCTGTTAAGTGAAACTTAAATTTTCGCGTGTATTGCTTTTGAACCAAGCTGCAATGAAAGTTGTGGGTGGCACTTATACACTTATAAGCATTTGAATTTTTTTTCCAAAATCATACTCTTAATATAAGAAAATTAATCTGATCTATAATATCTATTAATCTATATGTAATCTATATGTAATCCAAATAACACCATTATAACACAATCAAACTTTTATATAACAATAAAAAGACTTTCTGACAACAAATTTTTTCATTTGATTGTAAGGGTTCCATTAAACAAGGGATTCCTCTTTTGAGTTCCACTTAACATTATTTGGTTACCATGTAATGAATTCATTTAGAGAATTGGAAACAACATATTTTTTCAAAGATTCTTTTATTATGTTTACAAAAACATTTTCCAATGTATCGGCAATAATTTGGCATGCAAAATCATTCTTTTGATAAAGAAGTTTTGTTTTTCAAATTTATTGAATATCCATCAGATTAAGAAAAAGTTATCAAAATACGAAACATCTTTATTTGAGAGTGAAAAAAAGAAAACTTTTGAAGAGGTTATTTTATTTAATCTATCAATTATCTCCTAAACAGTTGTAACACTCCTGAACAGTATCCAAAACAGTTGGAGAATAAAATTACGTTTTGCATAAAATTACGTTTTGCAAGACTTTTTTGTTTGGTAAAAAATTTGTGTTTTGGGAAATGTAAAAACAAATGTTGGTTTATATGCTGAATGCACTCAAAAGCTAAAACAGAGGATCCTCTTGTTGTAGACTTGTTTACCAAAAAATGATGGCATACCTTTATTAAATCTAAATCCTTTGTTATGATAAAAAATTACCCTTTTTTTATATTTTACTTTTAATGTTTGAAAGGTATTCTTGATATATTTTTATCTTATTTCTGCTGCTATAAAAAATGTGTATAATCTCAAGTTTTAAGGATTTTATTACAAAGATTCTTCTTATAACACAAACCTTGAAACCTGAGGCTGTGCCTTATGTAGAACTACTATTAAACACGACGATATATATCAGAAGCAGATCATCATTAATGCTTTAAAATATATTTTTAATAAGACTACTTTAAAACTGAAAAAATCTGCACCAAATTATTTATTATTTAAAGGAAAAAAAGCTAAAATTATCAGGAGCATAGAAATAAAATCCAACAAATTTTTCAATTTTCGTTTGATTTAGAGATTGTGAAGTTAATGCAGTGTATGGAGAATTGTGGTTTATAAAACTACATTAAATAGATTGTCTCCTGTATATTGTTCCCTCATGTTGTGTGAACTGGGGTATGGTATTAAAGTTTAATCCATAATTATGTTTTATATTATTTCAGTCTTTTTCTTTGATTGCTCAGTTTCCCAGTTCACTTGGTACATTATGGCAAGTGAAAGAATCCATGCCTTTGCATAAGTGGCTGTATCATAGAGATTCTTTCATTTCAACCCTCAAGAAGCTCTTGAAAGATTGTCCTTGTACAATATTAGAATATGATGGTAAGAACAATTTAAACTTTTAAGAATTGAAGAAATAATGTAACTTGTCTAATTATGTAAATCCTAATATGGATGACTACTTGTTAAAAAAACAAACAAACAAACTACTATTTTAAAAGCAACATGAATCAATGCTGACTGTTTATTAATTATTTAGAAATAAGTGTTTCAAGTTATTTGTTTTTATTTTATACTAAAGACTGTAGGTTTATTAACAATAAAATTTTTTATAAACAATCTTTTATTAAATTTGTATTTTTGTTTCATTTAATATTTTTTTAAAAAATTTCCATGGCTCAGACTTACAGGTAAAGAAAATTGCTATTCGCATAAAAAATTTATAATTGGCCATTAATAAATTTTTTTTTACAAATATTTCTTAGTACACTGGAAAAATCTTTCTTCTTTAGTAAATAGCAATCTTCTCAATAATGTTGGCTAATCTGGAAATTGATGATATGATTTATTTCATCTGGTTTTTGTAATGAAAAGGCTACTGTATTCGTGGTTATTTTAAAGAGCATCAACACCATTAATCTATAATTACTATTATAGGAAACAGATATTTTTTAAATAAACTTGAACAATGTGAATAAAGCAATTGCTGAATTGTGCTTTATTCACAATGTTTTGTTTCATTCATCAAGTACACTTTATTTTCATTTAGATATTTTTATTGCATTCTCTCTCTTTTTGAATCTTGTCCAATTATGTAGCTTCTTTTCTCTTCTAATACTGTATTCTAGTTGGCTTAAAAAAAGATTTTTATTCTGTTAAAGTGTGCAAAATTTATTTAATCACATTTTTTAAAGCTAAATACATACTTTAAGGAACATAGTAAATAACTAGTAATTGTTAACCCTTTGTTGTTACGTATAAGTTTAACTCTGTTTTGTTCAGTACGTGAACATTTATATGTTATTGTTAATTTAGATAAATCCTGTTATCTGTGATTATTACTTCTTATTTGCTAGAAAAAATGATTGTTCCATGGATATTTACAATTTTATGAAATAAATTGTTGTAAACTGTTATTATTTACAATAGCCAGTTTAATAAAATGTAATAAATTTGTCTTATTTTCGTTTAATCAATCAATTTAGATTGTTATTATTCATAAATATTTATTTCTGACTCCCATGCTAACTGGCTCCCATGATATTAAAAAAAAAGTAATCTGAAAAATTATATGAATTTTGCTTCGTTTTTATTGACTTGCTTTTTGTGTTTGAAATGATGGGAATCAAAATTTCGATCTCTTTCTGACTAGCTAGACTTGGTTTTTGACTGTAACTATGTGCTTAGTATTAATATAAATTGGAATTGTTTCCCGAATGCTGCAATAGAGTCATTTTACTATCAAACAGAATTTAGGGTCAATTGAAGTTTTGTCTACATACCAACTGCATAAAAATTTCCACTGGAATTTTATACTTGAAGCCAATACAATTGTTTTCTAAATGGTACAGGAAATATATTTTGCCCTCAATCGAAATTTGACAACTTTTCCTGAATATGCTAACAGACTAAAAACTGAAAATATTAATATATATATATTTTTTAAAAATAAACTGCAGTATCAAAGAGAGTAAAAAAAAAGAGAAAATAATTCTATTTTCATCAGATTGAAAACTAAAAATGTAGGGTGCATCGTTTTCACAATAACGTTTTTTTAAAAAAAGTAATCTACATAATGTTTTTTATTTTTGGTCTTCAAAAACTTAACAATTTTCTCCTTTTGAGTTCATTTTGATAACATAGTTTTTAAATTTTTTATTTTCTTGCATTGTTATATTAACCATTAATGTTAGTAATATGCAATATATGAACTAAAGTGTTTAAAATATTATACTATACTTAAAATTAATATGCAACTGTCTGATTATGCATTATAGCCTGTTACATACACTAATGAATTATCACACACCTATAAAAGTTTGAATCCTGTTGTATATATAAATATATATCTTTAAAGAGTCAGTTTTACTTTTTACAATTTCACTCTTACTTGAACTTGGTAAAATGATTAAGATAAAATTTAAATAAGTCTTAAATATGACATAATTTAATAAATCCTTGTTTTAATTTCAGATACAGTTGAATCTTCTCAAGAACCATTAGATAAATTTCTAATTCATAAGTTGAACTTAAGATGCTGATTTTAATTCATGGGATAAATAGCGTATAAGAATGCCACTGTTCTATTTAGCTGCTCCAAAGATATTTTTTTATGATTACTGTACAATTACTTTGTACTTAATGAAAAAGAACTTGAATTAACTTCAGTTAATGGCACACAAGAAACTAATAGATGTGGTAAAAAAACGCAAGAAAGGGATAACTTGAAGAGTAAAATTTGTATTACTTATGAGTAAAATATTATACAGTACAGAACCCGTTATCCGGAAGTCAGAAAACCGTAGAACCAAAATACCGGAACGAAATTCGATACATTTCCCCGCCATTTGTTAAAAAAAATGTTTTATTCCTCATAAGATTTTAGGATTTTTCTCTCTTTTTTGAAAGATGTTTACCTTACCATCATTTTGGAAATAATCATTAGTGTATTACTTCATCGTTTTTTCTTTTTTTTAAGATTATTTCCAAATATTTTTTTATTTTTTAGTTGGGTTTAACAATAAAAAAACGGCTTTTGTAGCGATNGAAAGATGTTAACTTACCATCATTTTGGAAATTATCATTAATGCATTAATTCATCGTTTTTTCCTTTTTTTAAGATTATTCCCAAATATTTTTTTATTTTTTAGTTGGGTTTAACAATAAAAAAACGGCTTTTGTAGCGATTCAGAAAACCGGAAAAATCAGTTATCCGGAATAGCGATGGTCCTGATCGTTACGGTTAATCGGTTCAGTACTGTACTTAGCTAATACATATAAGGGCTTGTTCTGAATAGTAGCCACAAATTAAACTCTTTGAGTTTGCCTCTACAGTGATGTTTTTTTAAGTTTTTCATGGACTCTAACTTGTCTACTATTTTAGTATGCAATCCAATATGTGATAAGCACTAAAAAATTTTATGGTTTTCCTTAACTGGTGTAACACATAGCATTAATAGTGTTCTTTGATTTTCTTTTCGCATTGAAAATAAAAGCCACTGTGTGGATTTTTTGTTTACAGTGACAAAAGAACTTAAATCAACAGTACGAACAACAGAAATTAAACATCAATGCGCTTGCTTTAAATTATTAGCAAAGTTTTATTTTCAAATTCTAACTCCATAGGCTGTTTTACTGAAAAAAAAATTATCTGGATTTTTTAACTTTACAATTTACTTAAAAGAAATGCAAAATTATAAGAACTTTTAAGAAATAGGTAATTTCGATTGCTAATTCAAGATTTTTCAACGTAGATAAAATGAATGAAAATCAGTGAATTATTTTAAATTTTTGCATATTTTTACGAACCCAAACAATACAGCAGCGTATTAATTACTCCGATAGTGAAAAATCAGATCTCAAACGCTTTTCGTTTTATCAAAATTGTGGCTGCTCTTGATATTGACATTTTGTACCATTTTCATAATTAGCTTACTGGATGCTGAATAAGGATCGACGGAATTTGAAATAACAGACTGTTTAACTGTTCATATCATGATTAATTAATATGTTGTTCTTTAAATAGAGTTTTCTCAAAAGAAGACAGAGCTTTCAAAGAACAGCCTTTAACCATGTGGTTGGCTTGAGCGTCAAACATGATACATTATTTTTTAGTTACTAATCTTATTGAATAAAATTCTGTTAAAAATATTCTAAAAAGGAATAGTTTTAGTACTTTAAATTAGAAATATTTCTATTAAATTTGTGTATTCGTTAGATTTTGCAACATTTAATGTTTGCTAATAATCTCGGTGATATTTCTTATTTGTCTTGCTATTGTATTGTTAATTATTAATTTTGCTGTTAATTATAAATGCCTTTGTATAAAATTTAACTTGAAATCAGTAACGATTGTGATATGTGTGTATATTTGTTGTAGACTAATTGGAAAATCCAATTATTTGCAAACTGTGTAAACCATTTGTTAGGCTTTTTTATTTCTTTAAAATTGAGGTATTTTTGTAACAAAATTCTTTAGTAATGTTATATCATTTACGAAGATAACTCATCATATTTTTCTAAGCTTTTTTTATAAGTAATTTGGTATGTTTTCATATCCTATTTTCTCTCTCTATTTCTGTGCCAAACTCTTGTTTTTGTAATGCGTATTGTTTGTTTATAATGCTATGACTTCAAATTTAAAATATTGAGCTTTAAAATTTTACATTTGTTTTTTTCCTATTTTTTAAAAACTTTTTTTCCTTTTTGTTTTTTTCCCTTTTTTTTTAAAAAAAAATTTTTGTTTAATTTTTTTTTTATAGATTTATGCTTTTAATTTCTAATGTTACCTGAATTACTTAAGGCAATGCAAAACTCTCTATTTTAGTTGGTTTCATATTTTTTTATTTTATCAGTTTGAGGAGAGATAATTTACTTAGTAAATGTACATTTTTATAGTCAAAAACATTAGAACAAGTACATTTTATTTAAAAAAATATTTGTGTAGTTCAGTAGTAATTAATATATTTTAAAAACGTAAAAATAGTTTTAATTTTTTAAATGTACGATTTAACTTTTTTTTCTTTAAGTAAAAATTTAATTGTTGATTTGTATTTACATTCTAAGTGCGCCTCTAATGTAACTTCAAGTTTTACTGAAAAGCTAATGTATCAACAATTTTTACGAACTTATGTTTTGCTTTGTTCCATTTATGAGATAAGTGCTCAATTTAAGCTGAAGTGTTTTGAAATTTTTTAATCATTGATTTTCGAATTATAATTTACAGTCAAAGTCAACTAACAAAATTAACTCCAATGTAGTTTCTACTAAAAATTTAAAAAAATATTTGTTTTGTTCCTCTTGATATGTAAATGTCATTTGTTAATTAATCATTTGTATTGAAAAATTGTTTTTGGCAAAATTGTTTTTAATTTTTACAATTTCAAAAATCAAATATTTTTGGTTTTAATATTTCCATGTTGTACAGTACTTAAAGTGTAGATGATTCAACAATTTTTTTTGTGAGTTTTATATATATATATAATCTGGAGATGTATTTATGTTTAGGCCATTTTAATACAGCTGTATGGGAGAATTTATTTCCCGTTTATCATTTTGTGAGTTACTTTATGCCCTGAATATTAAGAGGAAATAAAATGTACACCGATGACCATTTAAGTCAGTGTCCACCCTTTTTTGATTTCGAACAACTTCAGCTATCACTATAAATGTGGTGTTTAGGTATTAACCCAATAGCAGAATTTACGAAGTGAATCTGCAGCATTATTTTCGCATATACAAAATTATCTGCTACCCCAACACAGTCAGACAGTTATATTTTTATATATATCATATACACAGTTATTATTGTACAAAATTAAGCTTAATCTAACATGAAAGCAGTAAAATTTATAAATGTAAGATCCTTATGCTTTAAAACTTTATGTTTAAATTTAAGTTAAATTTTATCCAATAATACTAAAATAATGAAATGAATCCCATTAAAGTTAAACCAGTAATTAGTCGACAGAAAAAAACAATTCTTTACTTTCTGTTTCCTCCTGTGTTTTCTCAATTCAGTTATTAATTTTTATTAGAAACAAGTTTAGAAATAATTTGAAAAAGAGTCTCAGTAATTTCCCCCATTTTTTTACTTCTTAAAAATAAAAAACTTAGATAAAAAGTAATTTGCAGACGTTGCTGCACTGGAGATTTCCTACTACCGTGGGTGTCAATTAGATGTGTTCTTTGCCAATAAGTTTCAGCAAGTTTGTGTTACAGTTATATATTTTTCCTGCATGTTCTGAAAAACACATCAAGATCAAATATGATGTTAAGATTTTTTTTATATTTTAACAAACCTGCGATAAAGTAAGAAAATTTTTTATGCACTGTTAACTATTTTTCTTCACTCCATTTAAAGTGAATTTATAAGTATAGAACTGATTTTTCTTGTATATATATTTTTTTCATATACAGCCTACTCTCAATATCTCAAAGTTGAATGGACGCTGAAAACATTTCAAGATAGCGAGTTTTCTTGTATATATATTTTTTTCATATACAGCCTACTCTCAATATCTCAAAGTTGAATGGACGCTGAAAACATTTCGAGATAGTTTTTGAGATAACAAGCTCAGAGCTTAATATGTTTTAAAAAATAGAAAAATATATTCTAAAATAGTTCTTTAAGAAGTCGAGTTGTGAAACATAAGAATAACTACTAATAATTATGTATGTAATGATAGTTGAATATAAGTCTAAATACAGCAATGATAATTTTTAAAAGTAAGATAAAAACAATTATGCCATAAATAAAAAAGAATTGGTTTACAATAAACTTGCATTGGGATTTTTCCAAAAAAATTTATTTTCTATTTCGACATAACAAGATTTTGAGAAGAAACTCTTCGACATAGAAAATCAAATTAACATTAGGTGGATATGTAATGCCAAGGAGAAAAATATTTTTTTGACATAACAAGGTTTTTGAGATATAGAAGTTTGAGATATCTAGAGTATACTGTACTTAATTAACTGAACTCTCTGTACTATAATTTAAGATTGTAATTTATCGTAATAAGTATTAAACAGGAACTTGTTTTTAAAAAAAATTTAAGTTCTCAAAAATTATGGCTCTAAATATTAAGATCTAAGTACATAGACGTTTTGATTATTTCTTATTCATTTTTACTTACATTTATTGCATATAAATTTTTTTATTTGCATGTTTATTAATTGCTCATTTTTTGTTACATGTAGATTCGTTATAAAAACTCTTCTTAAATACTTATTTGAATTTTATGTTTACGAAATTGTTTGTGTCTTGTTGTAATATTTGTCTTGTTTCCAAAAAAAAGAAAAGAAAAAAAAAACAGTGTTAAATAAAGAGCTTTTTTTACTTTGTTTACCAACTGTTTCCTTGCTTTGTTTACTGTATCAAACATCAGTATGTTGTAACTGGTCATAATTCTTATCTGGGAACTCTGTTGCATTGAAGAAAAAAATTGTCAATCCATTGTTTAGAAAAATATTGGAAACTTTGTGATCACTTTTATGCCACTATCTATATTCAAACAAATTGATAAATCATGTAATAAAATGTAAATTCGAGATATAATTATTTTGTTATCAAAACATAAATGGCAGAAAGTTATGAATATCTTAAATAAAGTGACATAGAAGTAAAAAGCAATGGCAAATATATAAAAAATTTTGTGATAAAATCAATGGTAAAATCAATGATCTCAAATTAATTGGGAAATGAAATTTATGTCTTCAAACGAACGATGTTTGTAAGGTATATTGATTTCAAGTCAATCGGGCAGTTTAAAGCTCTATTGATATTGGGCCATTAGGTGAAAAAAGGTGTATGAAAACTACAGAGCACTGTAAAAAATTGTTGTGCACACCAAATATGGTGGCCTG